TCTATCTAGACCTTAAAATGTCATTCCAAATGAACCTGGTAAGTCAATTATATTTCCAGTTAATACGTTGCTCATTGCTGGGTCTAAGGAAAGAGAAGAAGCTAGTGTAGAGCTTTGTAAGGCAGTTTCAAATTGCAATCTTGAAATGACAATTGTGTTACCAATTCGATTGTTTGCTTTTGAAATTTCACTACAGAAGGAAGCTAGGAACAAGAAACAAAGTTTCCTTACAAGAGAAGAAGTGATTGAAATTGGTAAGTCTCTCCGACTTGATGATGAATCAGATATTGATGAAGCTCTGCAATATTTACACAATGTCACTATCATTCTTTATTATCATGATGTCCTACCAAATATAATATTCGTTGATCCTGAACCAATTCTTGATGTTCTTTCACTTTTAATAGCTATCACATATGTTGAACAATCTAAACTGCATTTAATAGCAAAAGTATCTAATAGTGAAAGATTGCGTCTCAAAGATTGTGGCCTTTTTGAAGAAGATCTTTTAAAAAAAATTGGTCAACGAAAAAAAATTTTTGATCAAGATTTTGAATCGTCTCACATGATTAAACTTTTAAAACATCTCCACATCATTGCTGAAGTAAAAAATAAAAAAGAAAAGGAAGATGATCATCACCACATTGTCACTGACACAGAAAATAAAGAGAAGATTGAATATTTTTTCCCGTGTGCATTACCATCTTATGATGAGCTCAAAGCTCCCTCAACAGAAATACAACCACTTCTCATAGCATGGGAGATTAACAAGAGTGGCACAATTCGCACAGAATCTCTAGCCATCCCTCAAGGATTATTTCCTTTAACCATTGTACACCTTTTAGAGAGAGAAGATGTTGACTTCAATGAAAGATTTTACAGATGTCTTGATGCCATGTCACTCTGTGTTAATGACGAGTACACTATAAATATCATCAATCGATGTACGCATATTGAGATACGTTTTTATGACGAAAAGAAGTATTGTTCAGAAATTCGTAAATTAGTTGAGGATGCTATCAAAAATAGTGGCAATGATCTCAAAGTTAGCAAAAAATATTCCCTGGTTTTTGCATTCAAATGCCCCCAAAATGAACAATCTTACTGCATTGTCAAAGAAGATAATTCTTCTACCAGGTGTAAATGTCAACCACAATGTAAAGTACTACAAGGTGATGATGATAACAGCTACAGGTGCTGGTTTAGTGATTATCAATCATCCAGTCCAGGTTAGTAATGCACAATGAAGAGTATTCTGATGGAGTTTCAGTACCACCATTGATGCATTAGCATTACTTTTAATTTATTCAAAATGTAATTATTATTATTTCTTAGGAACCAAAGCATCATCAGAAGATCCACCTACTAAAAAACGCAGATTAGAATTAAGTAAGTAAATTATAAACAGCATACTTTAATCTAATGCAATTTAGATGTTTATATACTATATAAATTATGACTAGAAGTACCTGTAAACATACTTGAAACATAAAAGTTGAGGAATTTTTTAACTTTTAAGTCATGCCTATATTTACAGGTACTTCTGGTCATAACATACCATATATTGGGTATATTTCAATGCATGAAAAGTGGTGGAAATATTAAGTTCAATGATGGAATAATTCGGAAGCCTTTTATATTCCGAAAATATTTTACTTGCTATTATTTCCATCAACCACCTGGCCTGGTAAGTCAATCGAAGCATTTGCCGACTTCTCCACTTCTGAATCAACTTTAGCAACACTTCTAACTGGCAAGAAGGCTCTTTATGGCCTTCGAGTTAGAAAAAATGAAGCCATGGATAGTTATGAAGCCACGTGTTCATATTAATTGCACAATACCACATATCTTCTATTCCTTTTTATCCGCATATTTTAAAATTTCATAATATTTATTTTCGCAATTTATTGTTTTTTTCCGAAATATTAATGCATCGAAATATACCCGATATACGGTACAGTGTGAATTGCAATGATTGAAATTATACTAAATTATACTGTATATATACCTGTTTATTTTAGCAGTGAAATATTTTCGCAAATTTCACAGTAGTATATTAGTGACTTACTGTTTTCATATATAGCTACTGATGCTTCACCAGCACAGCCTCATCAAGACAGTACCACTGTTAATCCTGATAGTGATGGAGCCGGACAGCTAAGTAAGAATTGGCATGGCTTAATTATAATGCCATTAATAATTTTTACTTTTCATCAGGATACTATCAACTCCTTAGCTGTCTTCCCAAATATTTCAAGTAAGTACTCCACTAATTCATTTTTTTTAACTTTAATAACACTTATTTTTCAGCAGGAAATGGGGCTACATGTTCATGATTCTTTTTCCTGTTATTATTGCTTTGACTATAACCTATTTCACAGTTGGAACAACTATCAGTAAGCTCACAAAATAAATTATATGCATTTACCAAAAAATTAATTTTAATTGTAGCTTTTAATTTCAGTTCTCAGTATAGTCTAAATTCACACTGCAATATGTTATCACCGGAAGCCTGTGAATGTATAAGCAAAGCATAAGAGTTTTGGAATTTTCTAATTCTTGTGTGTCATCATACATTTTATTGACACTTCTGGTTGTACTGTATTGCAGTGTGAACCAGCCTTAAGCATATTCTATTTTTCCAATTTTGAATAATGCATGTACTAGTACACAATTTCTCGTGACTCACTGATTTTTCATATATAGCTACTGGTGCTTCATCAGCACAGCCTCATCAAGACAGTACCACTGTTAATCCTGATAGTGATGGAGCTGGACAACTAGGTAAGAGGCTACCATGATGTGTACAATAATAATCTTTTAATGCTAATGTAGCTATTAAAGATCTCAATATGGTACAAAAAGTTTTAAGTGAAGCTCAGTTTGGTCCAGCAGAATGGAATAACTTGGGGCTAAAGTTAGGTCTATACCAGCCAAGACTCAATGCCATTGCAAAAGGTGGTGGTGATCCAGATGACCACTTGAGGAAGACCTTAGAAGCATGGCTAGAGGGTAAAGATAATGCAACTAGTAGAACATGGCGGACTTTGATAGATGCTGTGAGGGAGACGAATGGCCGTGCAGCTGCTGACGAAATACCTAAAGAACTGAAATCTCTTTATGGTATTACCCTTTAATAATAATAGTAATATTTTGAATGCATTATGTATTGTTTTTTTTTCATGTGTCTTAATAGTATTTTTTTTCTTTTCTGAATGTTTATTTGCTATGGTTTTGACAGGGGCGTATCTAAGCTCTGAGAGTTGGCTGGGCACTGAGAAAAAATATGCGGCGCGCGAAGCGCGCCGCGAAAATTTTTAGAGCTAATTAATATTCATGATGGGCGTGGTCAATTAAATACTACGA